GAAGACATGGCCAGACTCTATGGTTCAGCCTGTGATCCCAGCACTTTGGGAGGCCGAGGCGATTGGATTACCTGAGTCTGTGGGTTCAAGACCAGTCTGGGCAACTTGGCGAGACCTCACCTTTACAATAAATCACAAAAACTAGCTAGTCGCGGTGGTGTGCATCTGTATTTCCAGCTACTTGGAAGGCTGAAGTGGAAGGATTGCCTGAGTCCAGCAGGTCAAGGTTGCAGTGGCCATGAGCATTCCACTGCACTCCAGCCTGGGCAACAGAGGAGACATAAACTCAAAACAGAAACAAAATAAAAATTGAAGACATGTAAAGAATAAAAATAATAGCACAGAATCACTCATGCCAAGCTTCCCCTGGATTTTCTTTAGTTTTACCACACGTGTATGACCTTAAACAATAAAATCTTTTTTTATGTGTTGTTAAGCTGGGATAGAATTAACATATATATATACACACACTCATATGTTACTTGCTTTTATTACTCAATATTATAGTCTGATATTCCTTCATTATGACTTATAAGGCCTATATGCATTTGTTTTCACTGTATACTATTCTAAAGAATGAAAACACTTAAATTTATTGAACACACTCATCATTGATGGGCCTTATTGTTGTTCCTTGTTTTCTGGATTTTGTTTGTTTTTTGCTAGCATCAACAAGACTGCTATTAGTATTCTTGTAGACTGTTGTATACTTTCCTCTTGCACATGTATACTCAATACAAAACTAGAGTGGAATTGCTGAATCATGAGATCTTTTTATCAAGGTGTCCCTCCACAGGTAGTGTAGTCTAGTTCTGTCATATCATTGTCCCTAACCGATGTCAAATTTTAATTTTTGCAATGCTAGTGGATACATAGTGTATCTCATTGTGACTTTAATTTGCATTTTCATGATGAGCAATATGGTTAAGAAATTTTTTCTACTCTGAAAACTTGTCTTTTCCATTTTTTATCACGCTGGGAACTTTGTTTTAATTAATTGCAGGCAAACTTATTTTTTGGATATAGTTATGTAGTCAACAGTTACTTAGTGAGTACATACTAGTTGCTTGAGACAAGTTAGTAAATAAAATTGATGATGATTTTCGACTTCTTGGAACTAAATTTCATAATGAGAGATGGACAATAAAAAAAATGCAGAAGGAATAGGTAAATTATGTAGTCTTTAAGAGATGGGGTTGTACATGGTGGCTCAAACCTGCGATCCCAGTGCTTTGGGAGGTTGAGACAAGAGGAGTGAGACCAAGAGTTTGAGACCAGCCTGGGCAACATAGCGAGACCCTGTCTTCACAAAAAAATAGAAAAAGTATCTTGTCATGGTGACACGCACCTGTACTCCCAGGTTCTCAGGATACTGAAGAGGATCACTTGAGCTTAGGAGTTGGAAACTGTGGTGAGCTATAACTGGACTACTGCACTTCATCCTGGGCAACAGAGCAATACTCTAACTTGAAATTTAAAAAAAATCATGATGAGTACTATAGAAAAAAAAATTTAAACAATATGACAGTATGAAAAAGACCTGGAGTCTGATGTGGGAATTATCATTTTCAATATGGTGATCAGGACAGGACTTATTGACTAGGTGACTTAGAGCAACAACTTGAATAGGGGAGAAATTTTGTCATATGGACATGGGATGGGAAGCATTCCAGGGAAGAGTCTGCTTCCTAATCTAGTTGCTATTTTAAATAAAATCTGTTTGAAGTATGCGTATCATACTTTAAGAGGTTTTAAGAGACATTTTTTATGATTTGCACTTTTAACTATTTTATTCTTTACCCAGAAATAATGACTTCCTGACCTCTTATAGTATCCTAAAAAGTTAAATATAGTCTTTTCTTTCCCATTTTGGTCTTAAATCCAACTGGAGTTTATTTTATTTTATTATTTTTCTTAGAGATTTTGTCGTGCTATGTGTGGTGTGAGGGTGGTGTTCAAATATATTTTTACAATGTAGAAAACTAATTGTTTCAGTGCAATTTATTTAAAAAACTATTTCCATTGAACTACAAGGAGTGACCCCCCAAAACAGAATTTATTTACAAAAACTTGTGTATTTATTCTTGCATGTTTAAACTTCAAAGTACTCTCCATTTGATGCAATACACCTATCAAGACTCTTTTTTCACTGCTTGAAGCAAATTTTGAAATCATCAATTTTGATGCTTTTTAGTACTTCTGCCATTTTTTTTGTTTCAACTTTTCCACATCGGCAAAACATTTTCCTTCAAAGACTTTCTTCATCCTGGGGGAAAAAAGTATCTTGGGGTAAAATCGGTTAATAGGGAGGGTGGGGCACAGGAGTCATGCCCTTTTTGGTCAAAAACTGCTGAATACTCAGTGCAGTTTGAGTAGGTGAGCTCGTAAATCATCCATCAGGAAATGGGCAGAAAAAAATCACACAGCCTTTCACAGTAAAGTTAGCTGGTATGCTGATGTCGACAGGTTCCTACAACACTGTAGGGAAGACTATATTACAAAGGGCCCATCCTCCAAAAAATAGTTTTGTTTTTTGGGGAACCTTCCCTCATATTTTGGAAAGTAGGTCATATATCACATTGGCATGTACATGTAGGTAATTTTATAATAATTACTGATAGCTGGCACTATCTTGACTACCTTTCCTTTGTTTTTTATTTTTGTTTTTGTTTTTTCTCTCTGTGTATTTTGGAACCAACTTGTTCACTGATACATACACAAAGAGTTAAATTTTACATAAATTATACTGAATCCATAGGTCAATTTGGACTAAATTGACATCTTTATATTTTTGTTTCTTCCCCAATATTTGAACATGACATAACTCTTCATTGACTGAGCTCTTGTTTGATTTTTTTCAATGATTTTATAGTTTTTTGTTGGATTTATTCCTATGTATGGCATATTTTTTTATAGTTTTTTTTTTTGGATTTATTCCTATGTATGGCATATTTTGATACTTTTGCAAATGGCATTTCCTTTAAAATAATACGACATGTGTACCAAAAAAATCCAGAATTGTCTTTTTTCTTTTTTTTTGGAGAGCGAGCCCCTTGTAGTACACTCAAAATTTGTTTCTTCGGATCAAATGGTCAACCAAAGTTTTTATCTGGCAATATTGAGAAGTTTGCCTCATTGATTTTTTAGAGTAATGTCCCAAGTTGTAGCAAACAGGTGACTGGTTCTACCACCATGACAAAGCACCTGCCCACACTGTACTGACTGTTCTGCAGTTTGGGGCCAAAAACAGCATGACCTTCAGGACCTACCCTCTGTATTCATCTGATCTCACTACCAGTGACTTTTTTTGTTTCTCTGTGTAAAAAAAGTCCTCAAAGGGAAACGTTTTGCCACTGTGAAAGAAGTGAAATAAAAAAACTGCAAAAGCACTAAAACGCATAAAAAACGAAGAGCTCAAAAACCCTTTTGAGCAGTGGAAAAAGCATCTCAATATGTGTATTGCATCAAACAGAGAGTACTTTAAAGGTGGATGAAGTTTAAATATGTAAGAATAAATGCACAAGTTTTTATAAATAAATTCTGGGTGTTTTGGGGTCCCCCTTTGAACTTTTACATATTTATTTCTGTTGAAAAAATATGCAAATTATTTAAAATTGATTTAATTTCAGAGATCTTCCTAAGTTATTAATTCTAATAATTTATTTGAAGTTCTTTTTGGATTTTCTACCAAGGAGATAATATAAATTTCGCTTGTGAGTAAATATATTTTTCAATCTCTATTTCAAATCCTTCAGTCTTTTATTTTTTTTCCCTTGCCTTAGTGCTCTAAGGTCATCTATGTGATTAAAAATGATCATGGAGAGCATGTTTGCCATTTTTACTAACTTTAAAGAGAACACTATCAACATTTACTGTGAAGTATCATGTTTGTTTGAGGCTTTATATAGGTGTATATTTTTTTCTCAAAGGAAGTTGTCTTTTATCAATAATCTTACGAGAGCTTTCACATAAAAAAATTTTGTTATCAAACTTTTCATTTACTGAGATGATTATATATGTTTTATCTTAAACTCAGTGTTTTATCTTAAACTCAATGGTGGTGGGTGACACTAATTTTGGTCTCCCAATGTTAAACAATATTTATGGGCTGGGTTCTGTGACTGAGCCTGTAACCCCAGCACTTTGGGTGGCCGAGGTGAGTGGATTGCCTGAGCCCGCGGTTTTGAGACCTGCCTGGGCAGCTTGACGAGACCTTGTCTCCGGGTATGGTAGCGCGTGCCTGTAGTTCTGGCTATTTGGAAGGCTGAGGCGGAAGGATGGCCAAATGCCAGCAGGTTGACGCCGGGGTGGCCATGAGTGTGCCATTGCACTCCAGCCTGGGTGACAGAGTTTTACTCCAACTCTAAAACAAAAACAAACAAACAAACAAAAAACAATATCTATGTTTTTGTAATTAATTTATCTTGGTCACAAAGTAGATTCTTTTTTCATATAAGACTTCTTACCAGGCAGAATAGTTTAGGATATACTGCAATCACAAACAACCTCTAAGTTTTAGTAATTCAAAATAACAAAGGTTTATTTCTCAATAATGCTAATGTCCATTGTGTGATGTATGGAGTCTGCTCTATCTCACTTTCCAAAGGAACTCAGGCTGATGGCTTCTCCACTGTTTGGGAGTGACAATTACGGGGAGAAGGGCAGTGGAAATGATATGGGACATTGCATTACGGTTCTTGAAGCATCTGACTTGAATTGTCACGCAGCCCCTCTGTTTACTTTCTATTGGCCAAAAAACTTACATTGAAAAAACTATGGGCTGCATGGTTGGTTCCATGCTTTGCTATTGTGAATAGTGCTGCAATAAACATTTGCATCTTTTTTGTAGACCTGACTTGTACTCCACATCCTTAAAATTAAAAAAAAATTAAATTTTAAAAAAAGGAAAATCTATAATCTAACCACAAGGGTGTAGGGAAGTGAAATTCTACTATGTGCCCAGAAACAGAAAGAATCAGCATGTTTTTTGTTTGTTTGGTTTTTGTCCTTCATTTTTAAAGCACTTACTTATTTTCTTTTATTGGTATTAGACATTTATTCTGATCACAAATGCAATTCAAGTGTGAACAAATAAATACATTAACTTTTAGCACCCCTCCCCTTACGCTCCTTTAATAGAAAAAAGTGCTAAATGTCTCTTCATAGCCTATTGGCCATAGTTGTCTCACCTATGGTTTTAAAAACAGGTTGTAACTTGATATTCTGAAATCCTTCTCAAACTATTACTCATTCTGTTAAAGAAATCCTGGGAAAGAAGTCCTATTGATGTTTTCCACAGTCTTCAAAAGGTGAGGAAAGCAACTGGGAGGGATCTTCAGCAAACTGAGGACCATCGGGAAACTGTGTAGAGGCAAATCTTGTCAACAAGATACCAGCTCCTTCAATTAAAGCTAGAAGAATGCCACCTATTGTGGCTGACCCAGCCATGGCCACTGGCCCATTTCTTGTTGTCAGGATGGCTCCTGTTAAGGCACCACTTGTGATGGAGTCCCAAGGATCTTCTTTCCCTCTGACTTGAACCATACTGCAGTCAATAGTGGAAAACAGGCCTCGCCAAATGGCAAAGCTACCTCCCAGTTGTGGAGCCCTGGTTTTAATAGCTATCAAACTTCCTCGTAGTCTGTGGTTTACTCACACTGGAAAATTTCGAAAACCTTTGATTACATGAAAGATACTACCACCAATGGTATCCATTGTAAAGGCCCCACCACAGTCATCCACAATTCGCCAGGGGTAAGGCTCTCCCGCTTACTCCTCCACTTTGACTCCTGCCAGAATCAGCATGTTTGACAATGCATGTAGGTAACTTTATGATACTCCCTGATATCTGGCAATGTTTGTAAGATGATTACAATGTTAGTGTTATTTTATTTTTTGTTTAGAATTTTACACCTACATTCATGAGTGAGTTATAGATATAATCTGATTTTTTTCATGTTATCCTTGCCAGGTTGTGGTGTTAAGAATTTGCAAATTGTGTTGGATAATATTCCCACTTTATCTGTGTTTTGAAATGGCGTATGTATGTGAGATTCAAACTATTCATAACTCATATGTTTGGTAGCACATCATTTTAATACCACTTGGATTTGATGTTTTCTTTGCAGGGCATTCAGTTTCTTTGGGGGTTTAGAAAACTATTCCGATTTTCTTTTTATTTCTAATTCAGGATTGAAAGTTCTATTTTTTTTCCTTCTGGGAGATTCTATTTTATATGTTTTCAAGTATATTGACATAAAGTTTTTCATACCATATTATCAATAATTATGGATCATTTATTTCAAATATTGCTAATTTTGTATTCATTTCTTTGACCAATTTTACTAGAAAATTTTCATATTTTTTCTTTCAGAAAACAATCTTTTTCAATAGACCCTTAATTATATTATTTGTTACCTTCTTAATCTCTGCTGTTTTGTTATTTTCTTCCTTCTATATATTTTTGGATGGTGTTCTTTCTCTAATTTGTTCAAGTAGGCACTTAACTCATTAATTTTTAGCTATTATTATCTTTTTTATTAATAATATTCATAATTGATAAATTATAATTACACACATTTATGGGGTACAGTGTGATGTTTTGATTTATGCATACAATATAGAGTGATTAAATCAAATTAATTAACATATCTATCACCTCACATCAATGTTGTGGTGAGACATTTAAATTTATTCACTTCTTTTTATTTTTTATTTTTTTTGAGTTGGAGTCTCACTCTATCACCCAGACTGGAGTGCAGTGGCCGTTCCCAGCCTTGACCTGCTGGGCTCCAGCGGTCCTTCCACCTCAGCCTTCCAAGGAGCTGGAACTACAGGTGTGCTCTACCACACCCAGCTCATTTTTTATTTATTGTAGAGATGAGGTCTCGCCAAGTTGCCCAGGCAGGTCTCGAACCCGCAGGCTCAGGCAATCCACTCACCTCAGCCTCCCAAGGTGCAGGATTACAGGCTGAGCCACCGAGCCCGGCTTAAAATTTATTCACTTCTAATAAAATGTCTAATGCTACAATTTAGCTGTATCCCATAGTTTTGTAATATGTAATATTTTATTATCACTGAAATCTAAATATTTTCTATTTTCCTCAATACTTTTTCACTTTGACTTATAAGATATTTAGAAGTATGTTTTTACATTCCCAAATGCATGTCTTCTTAAATTTTTGATTTCTAACTTAGTTATTTTTTTTAGCTGTATTTTTGTTGAAGAATTTATAACATTAAAAGTTTGAAATTCATAAATACATTTTTTGTAATTCAGGATAGTCAATTTTCATAAGTGCTTTAAGAGTACCTAAAAATATTGTGTTTTCTGTAGTTATTGGTACATTAGTCTACATATGGCCATTACATTATGCATATTATTTATATTGCTTCAAAACTTCTGATTTTAATGTTTATTCTGTGCTTGCTCTGTCAATTACGGTATGAGAGGCCTTAAAATATGCTGCCATAATAGTGGCTTTGTTTATATCTCCTAATTGTTTCTTCAATTTTGACTTTACATGTTCTAAGTTGCTATTAGGTACATACAGTTTTAAAATTAAGTCTTTTATCACTATATACTGATACTCTTTATCTTCCATAATGACAATGTTTATTTTATCTTATATTAGGATAGCTATACCATCTTTCTTTTGGTTAATCTCCTCTTGGTTTATTATTTCCCTTTTTTTTAACCTTTTAAAATTTTTTCTTGTTCTTGTGTTTTTCTCTTCCCTTTTCTCCTTGTTTCTTCCTATTCTTATTCTCCTCTTTATCTTCTTCTGCTCATATTTCTTTCCCCATTCTTTTCCCTCCTCTTCCTCTCCCTCCCCCTGCCTCTCTTCTTCTTCGTCCTCCGTATTCTTGCTCTTCTTTTTCTTCTCCCACTTTCTGACTCTTTTACTGCTCATTCTTTCCCTTTCTCTCAAATTGGCAATCTTAGTCATTTAACTAGATCATAAAAATCATTTACATTTACTATACTTATTTATATGAACTTACAAATGCTTTTTAATTTGTGATTCTTACTTGCCCCACATTTTATGTTTTATTTTTCCTTTCCTTTATTGCTTCCTTTTAGAATACTTGTTTGCGTTTTTCATTAAAGTTTTCCCCTCTACTAAATAAGTTTTATGACCTATTTATATTAACTTAATGGCTTCTGTATATTTTTGAGCATTCAAATATAATTTATCAAATCTAAATCAATATTTTTACCTTCAACTAAACATTCCATAAGTTGTAGACAATCTTAAACCAAATATCCTTCTAATTTTAACTTGTTTGTTTTATTGTTTTTTTATTTGTTTTTTTAAGCTCATGAAGAATTTATCACTATCATTTTATGCAAAGTTTATTTATATTTATCCACATATTACCATTTCTTTTTGCTTATAATATATTCTGGTTTCTCTAAGCTAACATCTGGGATCACTTTCCCTTTTTGTGAATTATGTCTCTTAAAAGTCCCTTCAAAGAAGATATGTTGATAGTGAACTATTGGTTTTGTTTCCCAAAAATATCATCATCTTATCCTCTTTCTTGAAAATTACTTTGATTAACATGCAATCTTGGTTGACAGTTATTTTCTCTGAGCACATTGAAAATATTATCACAGTCTTTGACTTTTGTTGTTGCTATTGAGAAGTTAGCTGTCAATTTATCAAACCATTAGAGGTTCTCATTTTTCTTTTGGTTCTTTAATATGTTTATGTCTTTTAGATTCTGCAGTTCCGTGTGTCTAGGTATTAATTTTCCCAGTTAGGATCATTTAGCTTCATAAATCTGAAAATTGGTACTAACAAAGTTCTGGAAAATTCTCAACTGCTATGCTTTTCAATAACTATGTCAGTTTTGTCATCTCTTGTTTCTTTTTGAAACTTAATTAGGCATGTATTAAAACTTATTCCTTTCTCATGTTAATTTAACTTTTAAAATACTTTGCATCTCTTTGCTTCTCTTCAGATACATCTTCCAGCTCACAAAATTTTTCCATCTTTTTATCTAATTGACTTTTAAACCTATCCATTGAGTTATATGTTATTTCTAAAAGTTCTATTTGTTTCTTAATTCTGCTTTTATATTTGTATAACCTTTAACTCTTTTAGTAATTTGTCTCTGCTTTCTTAGTACTAATTATATATTTTTTTTATATTCTATATCTGATAAATGTTTTCTGAAGCCTTTGTCTTATTGTGTTGTTGGCAAAGATTGTGTGCTAGTAATTGGCTGGTGACTGGTATGTGCTTACTTGTGTTTTATATTACTCTGAGTACATGGCCTTTTGAGGTATTAGATGCAGAAGTTTCTCCTATGCTTCCCACTTAAGGTGATCCTTAGACTTTGCCTTTCCCATAGCCTCAGAGATCAAGAAAACCAAAGCTAAATTTACTTGCAACAGAATATATTCTCAAAACAAAACCAGCTTCAGGATTCCTTTACTCTCTTTCTTCCTCATTTTACTTAATGTTTGGCTCTGAATGTTATTTAATAAATTGTTAGTTACAAATATTTTTCAAAAATAAATATATTAAAATGTTTTAGTTGCTCTCAGCAAAATAACCACTCACAATAATAGGTGCTCAGTAAATACTGATTGAATGAATGAGTTTTTAGGTCTTTCTGTGTACTATTGATGACTTATAAAAATTTCCAGAAAATAGTTGAGAACAGATCCTTTTCTCAGAGAGTGTTTCTCTATATCTATAGCTCTTCAAAAAATAGGAATTAAGAAGAAAAGAAAAAAAAATTCTCTTCCTCATTTGCACTTGCTAAGAATGAAGAAGAAAGAAAGAAAATAAGACAAAAATAAAACGGAAAAAAAATATGTAGAATGATAAGAGAACAGCCTGGAGCTGTGAAGCACAGGCCTCTGTAGTTGGTGTTTACTCATTCATGAGTACCTTTTACATTTCTCTTTCATATCTGGAACTACTGCCAATTATTGTACAGATGTTCCTGAGTATCTACTGCCTTGAGTGAATATATTCTGACCCTCTAGAGTTTCCGAACCTCACACTCTGATCCCATCCAGTGAGTCACTACTCTAATGGGCTAAAAGAGGAATCCAGTGATTTACTGAAATAAATGTTAAATTGAATATTGGTTGCATTGTAGAGGAAAATGCTTCCTCTAAGTCCTCCAGAATCCATTTCAAGGACCTGCCACTTGTCTTTGAGCTCTTTCCCCTCTACTCTTCTTTTGCATTAGCTCTTTCGAGAGAAATATGTTTATCACTCCACCCCATGGCCTGGGTGGTTGGAATCAGTGAAATTATTCCATTTCTCAAAGCCACATTAACAGAAAGGTGGCTGTGGATTGCCTGATTCTTCCATAAGTCATAATGCTTTTAGAAGCACTTTATTATCTTCCAGGATGAAATATATGACATCCTGTAATGGGTCCTAAATATCAGGACCTTTAGCTTTTCTCAAGGTGAGAACCATCTCCTCACTCCTTTCCTCCCTTCAGGCTTTCCTCCCACCCTCTCCTAAGGACTGTGGGGGCGCTAATGTCCACAGCACACACTCCCAAGGATCAGAGCTTGACGGGTTTTTCATCCGTGCATGTTTCCTGCAATGAGGAACATCTTACAAGAGCACTCTTAGGCAGAACTGGCACAAGAGAAACGCCACATTAGCAGGCAGAGCACAAGAGGAGAGGTGATGGAATATGGCCTCCTTGCTTAATGGGAGCCAGTGACTGGTACTCCATCCACATGAGAAAAAGGAAGTGTTAAGTTAATGTCTAGAACACAAACCTGTCCACACATTGAGCAGGAAAAAGAGCCAACACATCTCAGA